TAATTCTTGACTATCTGCTGTCATCTTCTTTAGCTCATTAAATAGTAATACCTTTTAACCAGCTCCTTATTACTTGTCCCTCCTTACTTAAACCCACCTTGTGTTTTAGATGAATGCTTTAAACACTGTCATCTTGTCTTCTTCCTGGGCAGGACCCCCTGCGGTTTGGTTCTGGCCCACCTTTCCAACCTCTTACCAACTGATATTTTATCATCTGGTTAGTAAATACTCTTGTATGTATCCACACAGTTGCTCAAGGGTCTTTTTTTGAAGACTTGCAACATGTCTATATGTAATTCACACCAATGCTTGCCTTTGTTAAGAAAGACTTAGGTCATTCTTTGACCTAAGAGTTGTTATGCTCATTTCCTGTTCTGAACACTTGTTGATTTTCCCCGGCCCTCCCTGGAATAGTCCTTCCTTCTGTCCAGCTACATATGTTTATGATTCTACTTTCCTCAAGAAGTGGTCCCATGCCATTCTAGTCAAACTTATTTTCTTATCTCTTACGAATTATTACAGAATTTACTGTTTTATTCATGTCGACACCTAATTCTATAGTGTTGTATTAATATTTAAATGCCTAAAGCATTTTGTTTCCCAAATAGATTATGAGGTTCTAGTAGGCAAGACTTCTGTCAAATATACATACAGTAGGCACAAATACTTGTCAAGCATTTATAAATGTCAGTGTAAAAATATGTGGAGTTTTGCTTATTCGCATTATATTGAATTTTTCACTTATCGAAAAACAGATTTAATAGAAACTTCTTTTAAATTGTAGGTTTTCTATGTGGAAATGCTTTTAAGTGTTAGTCTAGAAATTATTAAATATTAACCAAAAGGCTGAGGTGAGAGTTTGTGGGGAAAATGTTGAAGTTATCAAATTAGAAGTCACCAACTGAAGATAATCTATTAATCAGAAAAATCTCTTTTACATCAACTTTTCAGAAATATTTCCATTGTGAAACATGGTTCACATTTTTAAAAAGATGTATTCTGTGTTCTCATTGACATTCTATGTAGCATTATCCTGAGGATAAATGATAAAGGATAAAATTTATATTTTGGTTCAGATTGTGGCTCTGCTTGCCATTCAGTGTGATCTTGACCTGGCCATTTAAAATCTGAACCTCTTTTCCCACCCTCATCTAGAAAATTGAGAGAATGATACATACCTGATAGGATGTTGTGAGGATTAAATGAGGTAGTATAGATAAGGCGTTTAGTAAAGTATTTAAAGCCAGTAAGCAATCAATCAATGGTAGATGTTATTGGTCTTTATTCAATAAGAAGAGAATTGAGGGAAAGGGTAGATAAAGGTAGACTGATGGTTTACTTAAAAGACTTAAAGGTATCAGGGACATGTGCAGGTGAGTGATTGCTCAGGGTGGATAGACCAAGAAAGGGTATTTTGAATGGTATACATGGCACTGAAAAGTTGGGAGGTATAGGGTACGGTTGGATTACTTTATTTGCAGGTTCTTCTTATTTAGCATACATTATGTTTCCAAGTTTAAGTTGTAGACTAAATTATCATCTTGACTGGAATGTATGTTTAGTGTGTAAAACAAATTAGCATTCTCAGTATTTCAGGTATTAGTGACAGAAAAGGAAATCAGGGAGAGGGGGTGAGAATAGAGGTAACTTCTCTCAACAATGTTGCTCTCCATCCCTACTGTACCCCACCATTACCTCTGTCAGGAATAATTGCTTCCTCCAGAGACTTAGAGTGTGGTAGCAAAGTGTAAGACTTAATAGCAGAATTATGTGAAAGAGAATTGGCTGAATAGAATGTTAGATGATCAGTGAAGCAGTGAGTTCATTCTAGTGGGCAATGCCACTGCCCAGTGTGAACATGGGGTTTGGGAAAGGCCAGCCAAAAGAAATGGAGACTGATCTTAAGAAGTATGAGGAGGGTAGTGAGTCAGAGTTGCTCACTTCATCAGAGCAAGAGACCCTCTGGGTCACAGCTATTAGAGCTGACTGGGCAGATCTAATAAAGAGCTCTGCTGCTAAAATTGAACAATTACTATTTTTTTATAATTTCAAGACAAAATGGATTTAAAGGTTTTCATTTTATGTTAAACTTTTGGTACTTCTACCTTGTGAAAAGTTGCAAACAAATTTTAAAGGAAAAATGCAGACATTATTTTTTAATGCATTATTTTTAAATATATTTTTGTTGATTTCAGAGAGGAAGGGAGAGGGAGAGAGAGATGGAAACATCAATGATGAGACAGAATCATTGATTGGCTGCCTCCTGCATGCCCCCTACTGAGGACTGAGCCCACAACCCGGTCATGTGCCCTTGACCGGAATCAAGCCCGGGACCCTTCAGTCTGCAGGCTGACACTCTATCCACCGAGCCAAACCATCTAGGGTGAAAGTGCATTATTTTTTATATGTGGAGATCTGCATCAACATAATATAGCCAGATTTAGTGCTAGTAAAGCTGTATCAAGTCCACATGGCAGAGTTAAAGCTATCGGTATTCCATGGTGTTTTACAACGAGCACCATAATTTCTAAATGCTGCTGCCTGAACTAGTTTGAAAATCAACAGATTACACTCCTGACTGCCTTTTGTTAATTCTTAAGGGAAGGAATATTATTAGCCTCAGTGAAACTCACAGGTAAGGCTTAGATTCAAAGTAATCATATAAAAAAGACCAAAGGAGAATTAAATAGGGTAAATTTGAGTGCAAGAATAACATAATAGTTACTGTTTCCTGAGCACTTATTATATACCAGGCTCTGTGCTAAGTATTTTTCAAACAATTTCATTTAGTCACTTTTAAAAAATATTTTTATTGATTTCAGAGAGGAAGGAAAAGGGAGAGAAACATCAATGATGAGAGAGAATCACTGATTGGCTGCCTTCTGCACACCCCCTACTGGGGATCAAGTCTGCAACCCAGGAATGTGTCCTGACCAGGAATTGAACCATGATCTCCTGGTTCATAGGTCTATGCTCAACCACTGAGTTTTGCAGCTGGGCAATTTCATTTAATTTTTACAACCTTCCTCTGAAGTATCATCACCCACATTAGATGAAGCAAAGAAGGCTCAGAGACTTGCTCAAGGTCACAAAGCTGGTATAAGTGGTGGGTGACACAGATTCAAACCCAGGGCTCCCAAATCTAATCATGACATTGTAATGTCTCTTTGTGTGATGTAATCTAAAAAAACACACACACACGCAAACTGAGTAAAGCACACAAATCTTTCTGCACATATATTAACTGTTGTAATCAATAACTAAATCAAAATATTGACTATTTGCACCAACCCAGAAGGCTCCCTCCTGCCCTCTCTCAATCAGTTTCCCCATAAGTAATCACTACTCTGCCTCTATCAACATAGATAGATAGTTTTTTTTTTTGTTGTTTTTTTGGGGGGTGGGGAGTTATGACCCAAAGATTCCATATACCACTCTGTCACCTTGCCATTTTAGCTGTAGTATTCAAAGCTGCTTTTAGCTCTAACTTTTCAAGCGCTCACTGTAGGGACTAACTGTTGGAAATGGCTTCATATTCAATGTCTTGTATTCCGAAATCAATACTTATCTATCTATCTATTTATTTATTTATTTATTAATTTTTAATCCTCACCCTAGGATATTTTTCTATTGATTTTTAGAGAGAGTGGAAGAGGAGGGAAAGGCAGAGAGAAATATCGATGGGAGAGAAACACATGGATTGGTTGCCTCCTGCATGAGCCCTGAGCAGGCCTTGGGTCGGGGAGGAACCTGCAACCCAGGTACTTGCCCTCAACGGGAATCCAATGGGGACCCTTCAGTCTGCAGGCCCTCGCTCTCTCCACTGAGCCGAACCCACTAGGGCTCAAAAATCTTTAAAAAGCCAAAGAAACCTCTGGATGAAGTAGGTCCAAAGGGTTGTTATCAAACAAACCTCTCTAAGAAAGACCAGACACAGGTTCCTTGACGGAAGTAATTTGGTGCATCTATTTCCAACCATGGCGTCGCATTGGGAAACGGATAACCACAAAAGGTCGTCTCGGCTGATGGAAGGAAAGACTAGCCGGGCAGAGCACGGAATAGTGATTGTTTCGCACCGTCTTTCTATGTTCAGACAGCTTCCACAGCTGACTTGCTGTGTTATGTTGCAAGGGGGAGGAAGGATAAAGGGGAAGATGTAGGTGGAGGGCAGTGGGGGAAAGAGGCCCTTCCAGGAAGCGTGAATGTGGCAACTTTCCCTGTCTGGCGGTCTCACTCCTAAAACCACATTCCTTCTGGTCCGACCCGGCGGCGACAGAGATAACCTCACAACCGCACCTCACACTCTCCAGCTGTGGTCGGTGACTTCTCAGCAAGTCCGGATGACATCGCCTGCATTCTCCCCGCCACGCCCCTCCAGCCCCTCTCCCCCGCGCGTTTTCCACCTTCTCATTTCCACGTGGTCTCCGGTGGCCTTTGGAAGCAGCCCACAGAGCAGAATTGAGCCCAGGGAGAGAATAAGTGACATGAGCAGCGATCGATGACGCCGGCCGTGAGACGTGCGTAAGGCGACCCAAGTTTGGGGAAATGGACAGGAACGCTCTGGCCATCAAAGCCGGAGGACAGGCCCAGAGTGGGCGCACGTGACAGAGCAGCACCTCGAGAGTGACATCACCCCTGGGGGCGGAGCCGGCGGTAGGGCCTTGTCTGCTGCAGAGTTCCTTCCCCTTTTCTCCACCGAAAGCCGCCGACCCCACTAGTCACAGCCCCCCTGGGGGGACGAGAACCGCCCGGACCGCACAGCGCGGCGGAGCCTGGGATCTACCCAGGAGCGCGGGGGACCGCGCGGTCTTCCCTCTCCCAGTCGCTCCCCACTCCCAAGCGGTGCAGGGGGCGGGGGCGCGCGCTCCACCACGCACGCGCCCCCACGCACGCGCCTTCCCTCCGCGCTCGCGCCCCTCCCCGCCTGGCCCGGAGGGGGCGGGGCTGCGGGCGGCCTCCGAGGGTGCGACGCCCCCGGCGCGGCAGCGGCGCTAGCGAGCGGCCGGTCCGGCGCGGGTTGCTGGGAGCGCTGCTCCGGCGGGGCCGCTGGCACAGCCGCCTCGCGCGAGCCGTCGGCCCGGCCGGGGAAGCTGCGGGCTTTCCGAGCGCCGCGCCCGGGGCCGCCGGCGCTGCCCTCCCGCCGCCGCCGCCCTCTGCGCCTCCTCCGGGCGGCCCCGCCCCCGTTCCCATCCCCCTCGCGCTCACCTCCCGGCTGTGCCGCGCGCACGGCGGAGCGAGGCGCCCGCCGCCGCCGCCGCCTCTCTGAGGGGCGAGGACCTGCACCCGCGCGGCCGCTGACAGGAGGACCGCCGCGGGCTGCGCTCGCGGCCCGCGAGGCCCCGCCGCGCCTTCGGGAGGCGCAGACCCGCCGCGGGCGTCGGAGCGCAGCGAGGTGCTCTGGGAATCGCGGCGGCGCCGGCGGGCGGCGCCGGTCCTGCCCGGAGACCCCGGGGACTGGGGCTGGACCCCGAGGTGCGGCGATTCCCTCCGAGCGGCAGGTAAGGGACCGGGCAGGGCGGGGAAGGAAAGGTGGCTTCGGTGACAGGGGCTTTCGCCTCCCGCGCCTCGCCTCCGGGGAGAGGGGCGGGGGCGAGCGGGGAGGCGGCGGCGCGAGCGGCGGAGTGCCGCCGGTGTCCGAGGGGAGGCGTGGGGAAGGCTGGCTCCAGAGGTGGCGCTCAGGGTGGCGTCCGCGGGGCCCGGGGTCGGTCGCTGGGGCGTCACCGAAGGTGTCGTGGGATCTGGTACCGAGAGAGCCTCCGGGTGGCGGGGACCCAGGGTGAAGATGCGAGGCCGATTGCTAGACGTGGCAGGGAATGTGGTGCAGAACGAGTTGCAAAATGTGCCCCCCCAATGCAGCATCGAAGTAGTTGTGAGATGTGCCAGGTAAGACATAGGGTAGGTTGGCCGGTGTGGCGCTGAAATGCATGGGAGAAGTGTTGTTATTGATACTAATTATCCCCAGGAAAGGAGGCGTAGTGTAAGAAGGGATTAATAAGGCTCATGGCTAGATATTTTATCCCAGGAAATCGAGAGGCGCTATGATAGGCAGTTTTTTGTGGGGTTTTTTTTTTTTTTTGAGTTATAGAGATTGTCCTCACCTGAAAGAATTAAAAGCCAATTGTGTCTGGTTGTGAGACGGGAAAGGAAAAAACAGGGCTAAAATAATTCCAGGTTTTGACATCAGCCTGTAGAGCACTGATACCATTGTATCCTAGCCCAGGTGTCTTCTCTCCGCGGTGTGGAATGTTTAAAATGTTTTTCACCAAACGTAAACAATGATAATGAGCGTGAAGAAGATTTGATGTTTTGGGTGTCTTTCACTCCCTGCTCCTCTCCTGGAAAAGAAGAAACAACAACACTACCCCCCCACCCCAAACCCCCCACCCCCACGTCTTGACCATAATTCTGAGTTGAAGATCACTTAGGCAAAGGGAAATTTTTTTCCTATGTCCCTCTGTCTTCATTTTTACACAGGTGAAAATATCTGGAATGAGGAAAACAAAACAATATGGTGAACAAAAGGGATACATTTTTCAGGCATTTTGAGGGGTTGGAGCCTAAACCTATTGCAGTGTTTAATTACAGTGAATGACAGTAGTGATACATTTGTTCATGTTCCTGGTTGTGTCGTGGCAAAATAGGGAAAATAAATTGTATGCAGTAATGGGGCATAAAAAGCAGCAACATGGATACTGCCAGTGAGTGCTTCTGCAGCATTTCCCAGGTAGATCATCTTAAGCACAAAAAATAAAATATTAAATCAATTCTTTCTCTCTCTCTGTCTCTAATTCATATGCTGCGAAAACACTCTGACTTCTGTTTAAGAAGAACATTTGTGTTTTGAAAGAATTGTTAGGACATAGCTTGAATTTCAGAGGTAACAAAAGACGAGCTTTTTAATATTATATCTATATATACATATATACACACACACACACACACAGTCAATGAGTGTCTATATACCATGAAACAAGCAGAAATGCCTGGATGTGTCCATTAGGATGTAGTTAATTACTGATGGATTTTAATGTTTTATGTTATAATTCTTGCAGATAAACTGAATTACTTGCCTGAATGTTGTGCTCATATTAAGGACAGTAAGTAATTTGCCAGATAATCTGAAAATTTATACTTGATTGGCTTTTTCCTGGATCCAAATTCAGCTACTGAGGAATCATTTGCTTCAAATACAAAACTGGATTTTCTTTGGGGATTAATTTTGGGTTTTGGTCTTTTCTGTAGATATATTCCTCACCTAGAGGCTATGTTGAGGCTAAAGCAAAGAGGAGAGGGCCAGAGGAGAATAAAGAGCAGTTCTGTTGGGTCTTCCTGTTTTGTTCTGACTATAAGCCATATGTACTGCCACCCCCTACTGTCTGTAGGAAGAGGTGTTGCAGAGTCCCATTCTTTTCTTGTTATCACTGCCCCCTTGTGAAAGGGAAGAAATTGATAGTTGCACTTGGGAGATACCACTCTCCTCAGATTGTTCTTGATAGAGTGCTTATGTAGATTTATTAATCACCTATTCACTTCAGAGGTGCAGGGCTTTAAATTTACTGTCAATCAGCCTTCAGATTTAATGTTTATTTTTAATAGTATCTAATTTTAGTGAATAATTCAAAATTCTAAAGATAGTCTCAATATATTTGGGAAGATGGTGCAGTACTATTGTTAGTAGTAGTACCGTTAGTAATATCTCATCCTTACAGAGCACCTGTTATGTCCTGTGATACATGTTTTAATTAGTTCCAACACCCAATGAGGTATATACTGTTATTCCCATTTTACAGTTAAGAAACTGAAATACAGAGATGTTAATTAGTTTGCCCAAGATTATTTAGCTAGCAAGCAGAAGAGCTGAGTTTCAATTCAGGAGCTCTGGCTCCAAACTCTGTGCTCTTCACCAGTATACTTTATTGCCCTCTCAATCAAACTAGTATTATCACACATCATTAAATTGTAGGTGCCCATCATAAAGCAAATATAGATGTGGATAAACTGAAGTAAGAAGAAGATACATAGATGTTAAGCCTATAAATACACCAAAAACTACAATATGAACATTTTTGTTTAGGAATTTATTTTTGTAATTTATTTCTGGGATTATGAGTAGAGGGAGTATCAGTACTTTCTTTAAGTATGTTTTTTATTGGTTTCAGAGAGAGGAAGGGAGAGGGAGAGAGATAGAAACATCAATGACGAGAGAGAATCATTGATCAGCTGCCTCCTGCACAACCCACACGGGATGGAGCCCAAAACCCAGGCATGTGCCCTGACCGGGAATCGAACCATGACCTCCTGGTTCATAGGTCGATGATCAACCACTGAGCCACATGCGGTCTGGCATATCAGTACTTTTTATGGTTAAGGGAATATTTGTGATGGAGGTTGGCTTTGGGGGAAACGTTAGAAGCAGAAAGTTACCTTCAAGTAGTTTGATATGTATATGTGTATGTACATATGTATGCGTGTATAGTATCTCTGAGAGTACACTAATACCAGTAAACCTTTACTGCTAATTTTCTCTAGGAAAATTAAAGAGAAATTATCTATTTTTCTACCCATTCACTTTATTTATTTATTTATTTATTTATTTATTTATTTATTTATTTATTTATATTTTAATCTTCACCCGGGAATATTTTTCCATTGCTTTTTGGAGAGAGTGGAAGAGAGAGGGAAAGACAGAGAGAAATATCGATGATGTGAGAGAAACACATCGATTTGTTGCCTCCTGCACAGGCCCTGATTAGGGCCTCCGCCAGGGAGGAGCTTGCAACTGAGGTACATGCCCTTGACAGGAATCGAACCTGGCACCTTTGGGTCCGCAGGCCGACGCTCTATCCATTGAGCCAAATTGGCTAGGGCTTATTTTTTAAAGTAATTAACAAAAATGAATTGGATGCATATGTTCATTTTACCTCTTCCATCAATAATTGTTTGCTCAATCCTGGCCAGGTAGCTGGGTTGGAGAAGTGTTCCATACACCAAAGGGTTGTAGATTCCTAACCAGGACACACACCTAGGTTTGGGGTTCAATCCCCAGTTGGGGTGTGTACAGGAGGCAGCTAATCGATGTTTCTCTCTCTCTCTAAAAATCAATAAAAAAAATATACTCAGGTGAGGATTAAAAAGAAAAACTAGCCCTGGCTGATATGGCTCAGTGGTAGAGCATCAACCTGCACACTGAAGAGTCATGGGTTCAATTCCTGGTCAAGGGCGCATATTGGTTTCAGGTTTGTTCCCCTGCCCCATTTGGGACTTGTGCAGGAGGCAACCAACCGATGTGTCTCTTTCACATTGATGTTTCACTCTCTCTCTCTCTCTCTCTCTCTCTCTCTCTCTCTCTCTCTCTCTCCCTCCCCCTTTCTCTCTTTCTTTCCCTCTCTCCCTTCCTCCCTCCCTCTCTCTCTAAAAATCAATGGAAAAAATATCCGCAGTTGAGGATTAACAGAAAAACAAAAACCTAAAATAATTTGTTTGCTCAGATTTTTCTCACACTTAAAACATTGTTTTATAGGTATTAACTATATATGAAATAATATTTTAAAATGTGTAAAATATAAAGAATATCAGTGCAGCCAATACTCATATATCTTCCACCCAGTCTGAGAAATGGAATGTCACTTCCTACACTTGTAACAATTATTTTCTTCTCTTAGGCAAACTTTCTGCCATTCTGTGAATCACATATCCTATGTAATCAAACACTGCCTTCACTTTTATATACATTTGTTGATAAGGGAATTCAATATAATCTACAGATTATGATTACAACATTCAGGATGTATGCTTATATAGTTAATAAATTGTCATAGACTCAGATCATGCTCTGTATTATGTTGGTTGGTAGTTTATTTTAGCATACTTCACTTATAAAATCAGATTTGTTGTTTGCATCTTTATCATAAAGTTTTACTAACATTGTTAAACATTAGATTATTTCCCTCTTCCATCCTTTTTTTACTTTTTTCGTTCTTGTTTTTCATCGATTCTTGACTGTCCTTAGCTTCCCCCCCTTTTCCCCATAAATGTCTTTGCTCTTTTAGTATTTTCTGAATTGACTGTGTGTGCACTATTTTGAATGGAGAAGGAAGTAGTTCTAGAAGGAATATACTAAACTAGCAGTTCCAAAAGGGAAATATTAGGGTAGTTGATATTGATTAGATATAAGTTAGAACCACGTGTGTGTAAAAGAAATGTGTCAAATTCTCTCCTTATCATATTTCTTCCTTTTAGACTAGAATTAAAATGGAATCTTTGGGACATACTGATTTGGCATATTAGTTGAATTATATTGGATTGTATTTACACAGAATCACCAATGTTAGCTAGAATGTTTTTACTGATGGTACCCAGATTTTATTTCAAGGAGCTAGAGTAAACTGTTGCAGAGCTGTTTACTTTTCTAGCGCTAGTCTGGGCAAGGTTAACAAATGCTATAAAGTAGTCTGGAAGCTAATTTAATTATTTGGACTTTCCCCCCCCTCGGGATGAA